TTATTATTATCATTTTTTAACTTCGGGGGCCGGTAGCCATGTAAAGGGTTAAAAAAGGTCCCATGCAGTGCCGGAAAAAAAAAAAAAAAGGGTTGAAAAAGGGGAAAAAATGACAGAAATAAACTCACGAACAGGCTTTGTGTACGTTCTGGAAATCGTTTTCTTGGGAAGACGGCCAAAAGAGGAGGTAGATACACATTGACGAAGGAGTTCCTCGCAGCAGGAGCAGCTTTGGCGCCAATAATTAACCGTTAATTCAATTTACCACATAACATGTCAGCACCAGCAATCTCTCCAGATCATGATTCAGGGGTACCTGAAGGGCGGCCTAAACAAACATGCTTCAGCGAACACTCACTGGACTCTCTTTTCCATTTTCAGATAGTGAGGATGGTGGATCAGTTCCATATTTGGATCGGTCTGAACTTGGCCAGGATGGGAGATTTGTTCATAGCCATGCCAACCCCATTTCATTCTGTGCCAAGTCTGGAGGGGGGAATTATACAGCAGCTGCTAGCTTAGCGCGAAGGCTCGCACTTAAAACCGGACGGACAATAATGAGTGGAGGAATGTGCGTGGCATGTGCGAGGCGATGCTCTATCATTTACGATCAACAAGATATAACTTCCCTGCCATCCCAAGTCAAAAAAAAAAAAGAAAAAAAAAAGAAACTTCCTGCCAAGTCACCCATGAGCGAGGGATGTGCGGAGAAAGGGCTTGTGCAAGAGAGCTAAAGTCTATGGGTCTAAATGGTTCTGATCGTAAATGATAGAGCATCGAGTCCTCCTTGATTGCTTTTTCATTATGTTGCTTTTATGACGGTAAAGACAAACTTAAGGGAGGTGGGAGCTTTTACACATCAATGGTGAACAAAGGTGAGCTTAGTTGTAAAGAAACAGTTGTATGACAGACTTCTCTACCGATACTGGGACAACTATGTCAGGCTGCCATAGCAAAAATGTGGACAATTTTGTGAARAAAAAAAAAAAAAAAAAAATTCTTGAATTTTTCGTTCTTTCTTTTTTGTCTATTTCAACCCCCCTGAAGTTTTATATTCATATACATATATATTTATATATTATATATATTATATGTATATGCATATATACTTGTGTGTGTTGGTCTCTCTCTCTCTCTCTCTCTCTCTCTCTCTCTCTCTGACACACGCGCGCAACCCAGCCCCCATGTTAGTTTGTCGAAGGGTGCGCGGGTGGGGGATGCTGCGCGGTGTTTGCCCGGCTGCGCGTCTGCACAGTGGCGCGGCATTGTCCATGTGTCGGGCGGGGGGGGGCGGAGAGAGAGAGAGAGAGAGAGAGAGAGAGAGAGAGAGAGAGAGAGAGAGAGAGAGAGAGAGAGAGAGAGAGAGAGAGAGAGAG